TGTTTCCGGAGCCCCAATATATGTACAGACAATGGCTAACGATATTGACATTTATGTCTCAATACGTGATTCCGTTAACGATCGCCACATTTTCCTACTGTAAGATCGCTGTACACATCCATCGACGGGCTATTGTCGGCAACTCTACGCCCCAACAGATCGCCAATAATATGAGGCAAGAATTTCACTTATCTTTCTTTAAGACAATTTATTGTTTTTATAAAAATAGGCTAAACCTAAACACATTCACAGCAAAAATATAATATACAGAAAAATGATTTTGTATTATATATTAGTATTAGCGTAATTGTTTTAGCATATGTTCTTGACAACATAGAATCTATGTCATAGATGATTACTGTAAATTATATAATATAATTTTTAACTATAATTCAAAGCGAAGGTTTAAGTTTTTGCCTATGGTCATAAATATTGTTAAGTAAAGATATAAGGTGATTACCAGTGTTAAGCAATGTAACCCTGAGAAATTGTGCAATCGTGCTAGAACAGTACAGTATTTGTTTTATAAGAAAAGTTAATACAATTATAAATATTGTTTTTTTTTGTAAGACAGTGCAAAATTCAGCTGCAAAATATTATACAGTATATAATATAATAAGTAATAAGGGGGGCCTAACGATCTTATAAATCACATTATTCATAGCTGAATTGTGGTTAAAAATACTATAGCTTTGGGTGTATATTATATTGGATTTCGAGTTTCATTATATAATAATAATTATTATTTAGTTAATTAATAATATATTTATTACATTAAGCGTTTATTTATGATAATAATTAGAATTACATGTTTAAAGAATAAGCGAAAAACTTTGAGCTTTTAAGATATTACCAGAATTGATATATTTTAGTTTTTTAATTAAAATTTATGTACTAATAAAGTAAATAAAAATGTAATACGACCTAGGGGAGATTTAATATATGGAAAGAAAGCCTATATAATATAATATAATGAGATGATACTCAAAGCAAAATCCCATTGTTTTTCATATTGTATGTTTTGTGCAAATAATTGTGTTAATAATTTTGCATATATTCTAGAATTGCATTGAAATTAAATCGAAAGTAAACTAATTATTTTTAGATCCAACCGAAAGACAATCAAAATGTTGGTCTCAGTATTGGTTGTGTTCGCCATATGTTGGCTGCCATTAAACATGTACCACATTTTGGCCGATTTCATGCCCGACAGCTATCAACACAATTTCGTGGCACTGATAGCCGTCCACTGGTTTGCCATGAGTTCTGTCTGTTATAACCCATTCATATACANATACTGAGACCAACATTTTGATTGTCTTTCGGTTGGATCTAAAAATAATTAGTTTACTTTCGATTTAATTTCAATGCAATTCTAGAATATATGCAAAATTATTAACACAATTATTTGCACAAAACATACAATATGAAAAACAATGGGATTTTGCTTTGAGTATCATCTCATTATATTATATTATAAAGGCTTTCTTTCCATATATTAAATCTCCCCTAGGTCGTATTACATTTTTATTTACTTTATTAGTACATAAATTTTAATTAAAAAACTAAAATATATCAATTCTGGTAATATCTTAAAAGCTCAAAGTTTTTCGCTTATTCTTTAAACATGTAATTCTAATTATTATCATAAATAAACGCTTAATGTAATAAATATATTATTAATTAACTAAATAATAATTATTATTATATAATGAAACTCGAAATCCAATATAATATACACCCAAAGCTATAGTATTTTTAACCACAATTCAGCTATGAATAATGTGATTTATAAGATCGTTAGGCCCCCCTTATTACTTATTATATTATATACTGTATAATATTTTGCAGCTGAATTTTGCACTGTCTTACAAAAAAAAACAATATTTATAATTGTATTAACTTTTCTTATAAAACAAATACTGTACTGTTCTAGCACGATTGCACAATTTCTCAGGGTTACATTGCTTAACACTGGTAATCACCTTATATCTTTACTTAACAATATTTATGACCATAGGCAAAAACTTAAACCTTCGCTTTGAATTATAGTTAAAAATTATATTATATAATTTACAGTAATCATCTATGACATAGATTCTATGTTGTCAAGAACATATGCTAAAACAATTACGCTAATACTAATATATAATACAAAATCATTTTTCTGTATATTATATTTTTGCTGTGAATGTGTTTAGGTTTAGCCTATTTTTATAAAAACAATAAATTGTCTTAAAGAAAGATAAGTGAAATTCTTGCCTCATATTATTGGCGATCTGTTGGGGCGTAGAGTTGCCGACAATAGCGCGTCGATGGATGTGTACAGCGATCTTACAGTAGGAAAATGTGGCGATCGTTAACGGAATCACGTATTGAGACATAAATGTCAATATCGTTAGCCATTGTCTGTACATATATTGGGGCTCCGGAAACATGAGACGACACCTGATTAGCGACTGATAGGTATAATACGTGACCACTTCGTTGAAGTAGGCGTGCGGTAGAGATAGTAGCGATGAGAGCGTCCATATCATTGGGATTACAAACTTTAGGGGCAATACATCGCTCAGCCGTTTGCCAAACGGATAGATTATTGCCTGATGTCTGTCCAGTCCTATCACACACATGGTTAGTGTCGAGGCATAGCTGTTGACAAAAAAAACATCTCTATTATTAACGGATTTAATCATTTTATTTGCAGACTTCAACTTAAACTTATTTATAATGCATTAACTTAACAATAATCACATGATTAAAAGCATTGTGTCGTTTTGATTCGTTATAGTATTTGTTATAAATTATTGATTATAAAATAAGGGATTATATAAATCCTATGTTCATAAGTCTGCGGTAATTATACCTAAATACATTGTATAAGACCTTATGATATACAATATGTAGTAATAATTATTGTTTCAATAAATTCTGTACATGTTATGTATGTTTAATGAGATGTTACAGTCTGATCGTTATTTAACTAGATAACAAATTATTTAATTATTTAATATTAAATATTTATTTACATTATATGTAATACAGAATCAGAAATATAATTGTAAAAACATAAATTAGTTAATTAAAAATTAATTGTACCATCTTGGGATAACATATTTAAATACTTAATTTAATACCCAAACAGTATTATATGAGTGGATTTAAATGAGACTGTTTTATTAGCAAAATGTGATTGGTAATAAAAATAAAACACTTCAATTAAATGGTTTGCAATTTCAACATTACAACATGGTATCATTAATTTGAACATTTATTTAGTTAATTCAAACATGTTGACATATACTGTCATAGTGTATACGTTATATCAAAAGTCTCTAGTGTGCCTAGTTTAATTAAATTATTAAAACGTCTAAACTTTTATTTCTTATTTTATTTTAGTATTAGTTCAGAGATTACTTTAGGTCACGGATGAGCTCTCGAGCAAACTTTGGGCAAATCTGTCTTATCATTTATGTACGACATTATATTCAATAATACTATGATATTCAGATAATTATTATTCATTTATGGTAAATTATTCATTTGGATCATATCTTAATTTTTAATAGTTTTGACCAGTATCATAGTGATTTTGAATTGCCCCATATTAAGTATACCACGTGACCAAAATCTACGGATGAGGTATGAAGACAAATGGCGGATATGACACTCTTATATACTTTTTACAGAATGCAATTACCTTATAGTTTTAAAGTTATTCAAAATCTATGAGCGAACGAATTAATTTACCGCTTAATTTACATAACAATATACAGTATAATTATATATTGAACTTCTAAAAATTATAACTCTAGACACTATATTATTTATGTTTAAACATTTTCAAGTATTTCATTGTACTAATTTAATTCTCAACGAGTTAAAATATTCTGGAAAATGTAACATTAGATTAGTATGGTAGAATGAAATATACGAAGTTTATAACATTCTATGGAATTGTATTTAATTAAATTTAATGTACAATTTTTTTTTCTTATTAATTCTAATATAATATAATTATTGTGTACTTTAGATATATAGTTTGATGTAGAGATGTACAATTTACAAATTATTAAAACAATAATTTACACATTTATACTAAATGACATCCATTATTTTATTTTGAATTATATTTCTAACATGTTAATGTCCCACATGTAAGTTATGGGCCATTATATAAAATTCTGTGATAAATATTTAATTTAAATGTAATATACACTAAATATACTGCAATTTCAGGTGTATCTGTAATAATAAGAAGTATTTAATGCAGATTTATGGACATGACTGGAAAATATGTTAAATATAATTTAAAGTAATTCAATTATAAATAATTAAAAACATCTCAAGGTTGTTAATGATTTTTATTTGCCAAAATTTTCATTTCTGTGTTATAATTTTATTACAACAAAATATTAAAAATATATATAATTAATTATAATTAACTACATAATTTATGTTAATAACATAAATAACTAAATCATCACGATTACCTTAACAAACTATGTGCTATTCTTCACTAACTATTTACTATTTTACTTATTGCTATTAAGTGCTATTACTTTCTATTGCCTAATTTAATATATTAATTGTAGTCTATCTTATAATTATAATGAATTTACTTAAGACATTAGACATCAATACATATACTTTAATATATATTTTTTGTCACCAAAGTGTCACCTTTTTTTCAGCCTTACTAATGAGTAAAAAACAAACAAATAATATAATTGGGAGACTTTCAATAGCCAGACATATCATGTAATAATTGATAAATTAAATTAGAAATAACAAAATAGTCTTACACCGAGCAAACCTGAATGAATGGCACAAATTGGCACAGAAACTGACCAAAGGGCCAATTGTCCATGATAATTCTGGCCGTATTGAACGGTATGTTAATCGCTGTCATCAATAGGTCGGAAACGGTTAGGTTTGCGATATAATAGTTGGTTACGGTTCTCATCCGACGTTTACTGAATATTATGTAAATGACGAGTGAATTACCCAATAATGAAATGACAAATATTAGTNGTTTACTGAATATTATGTAAATGACGAGTGAATTACCCAATAATGAAATGACAAATATTAGTGAATATATGGTAATAATTGTGACATTTTTCCAATAGTTTTGTCGATAGAGTTCTTCCTCGAGATTTGGATTACTTTTAATCAATTCTTCCCAGAATTCCGGTTCAAAACGAAAGTCAATAGTTTTGCTGTTATTATCAGTTTTATTCATATTTTCTATAATTCCCGACTTAATTAATCTTTGATTTTAATTAATACTTGTTATTAAACAACTTTTAACTTTTATTTATATTATTTATTATTTAATAAATAAACTTTGTTTTTAAATAATTTATAAAGTACTTTAATAATGTGAAAAGTTTTGAACAAATGTAAGAATAATAGCAGTTATTAGAAATAAAACCAAATATCACTTATTAGTAACATATCAATGACTCGTAGTTATAACATGGAATATACAACAATGTAAACATTTAAAATAATCACAACAAGCTCATTTTTAAAATATAAAGAATACTTTAGAAATATTTAAATTAATAATGTGTAAACTCAGTAAAGAATAAGCTAAACAAGTATGAAAATATTGAATTGGTAAATTTTTAATAAATTTGAAAGTCATTAATATGAAACTCGTTTTTACAATAATATCATGAACATATATTGCATTATAATGCATCAAAATATGTATTATTAATTTAATATTTAAAAAAATAATGGTTTACAAAAATAATCATCACATAAAACGGAGTATACAATGGTTTTGAAGCATTTTAGGCGACAAACTAATGATTGTCTGCAGAGAACACTCTTTTCTCTCCAAATGTGAAGCAAAAAGAGATGAAACACCAAATTATGTGTTCACTGAATGCTCACTGAATTTAATGCTAAAACCAAACACAGAATACATGCGCTTATTATTTCCTATCGCCCTATCGTTCAGTTATTTTTATGTACAAAAGTATAACTAAAACTTTATAATTAAGATTAATATTTAAATTAATTTATTACAACACAATTAATGTTTGTTTTTGAGCTTAAATTATTTAAATATTAATATGTAGGTTCTTAGTTAGTTTTGATTTAAAATATTCTAAAAACATTTTTCGTGTGCAATTTTGATAAATCTATAATAAAACTCATATAATTTAAATTATTAATTTTATAATTTATTATTTTATTCAATACTAGCTTTAAATTTAAATTTTTTTTCTCCGTCTCAATAAGTTTATTACTTATAAATTATAATATTACATTAAAGGTAATAATGTATAATATTCTGTATACTATATAATCTATTTCTTACATACTATTAATCATGTTATAATTACTGGACATTTACAATATATATTAATGTTATGCGCTAATAAGTAACTTCATTTGATTTATTATATGATATATTATTATATATTAAATAATAATAATTAAAGTTATATAAGTTAGTTAACTAACTTTGGTTATATTTAATTAAATGTCTACAAGTTTTTTCATGCTCACAACATTCAGATCAGACAGACAGTAATTCCCTGAAGCTATAAATGTGAAAGTAAATAGAAAATGTGATTTGTTATTAATTTTCAATTTTATTATTAGAATATTTTATTTAAATAAGCGGTTTATTTGGATATTGCATATATACTTTAACTATGCAAATAAATATTTTATTTCTATTATTATAGATCAGCTTGCTACTTTAAAATACATTATGAATACAGTGCAACTTCTCCACAAGGAACGGCCAGTTGCACGGCAAAGGTGTTCCCTATAGAGAGGGTTCTGTTATAAGTATAGAAACTCCAAAATATATTTCAAATCCGTTCCTCTAAAGGAGGTGTTCCCCTAAGAGAGGTTACACTGTATTTAATACTTTATAAATACTTTATTATAATAATCTGAATATACTGTATATAAACATATTTTGCAGTTCTGGAGCCAAATGTATATTTTGTATTTGTTTAGATTAAATAAATTAAAGCTTTAAAAATTATATGGAAATTAAAGATTAATTTGACTACATTCATATTTAGAAAATAACATTTATGTTTATAAATTCAGAGTCCCATTAGAAGGATTGTAAAATTAATTAAATGAAAACAACTGCTTTTGCTATTCATCTATTTCTGTCATTAAATTCATAACATTTTAAATGTAAAATTGCTTTTGTTTTGGCTTCAAATGGAAATAACATTTGTAATTTAAAACAAATATTAAATACCTTATGCAAATAAATGTTAAAATTCAATTATTCGTTAATAAATTACTTCTACCATTCATTACGGTATATGAATATTTAAAAATAGAATTGACCTAGAAGAATATGATTCGTTGATTCTATGGATTCACCGACTATTAACATTAAATACAATTTTAAAATTATAAATTAAAACATCATTTCTAAGAATTGCATTGACTCAATAAAGTAGACAAAATCACTTATATTTGTAAATATTCATCTAATCATTTATAAATTAAAGATATATACACTTTATAATCGTATTGTTTATTAATTCATATTACTTACAGTGTATACATTACTTGCTATATGGATATTATGTTAATAAATAATATCTCTTTCATAAGATTTGAAAGGATTGTTGCATTTGTATAGTTTCATGTTAGTTTATTAGTTGGCAATCCATTAGTTTATTTGAATTTATGCATTAATCCTTTACATCCAATCTTTTCTTATTGAATCCATTAACGTGGAAATAAGAGTTAACCCATGTTTACAATGTTTTGAGCTTTTAGTGATTTAATTACACTTATTATTAAATATCTATGTTTACCAGTATTAGTCTATTATTAAATTTAAATATTTTCATAACAATTGTTCACATATAAACTCAATACACATCCGTTGCATTTGTTTAAATATTTAATTTATTATTATATTCAATACAATTTAAAGAAAATCATATAAAAATTTGACTAAAAATACTTGAAAACATCAAAAATAATTATTATCAGTAATAAAATACATTACAAAAGAGTATCATATCTTTCGGATTTATTAGTTATTTAAAAAATACTCACAAAACAATAACTTTATAATTAAATTATAATCAAATACTTGATTGAATGAGATTATCATTTGAAAGGATAGCCACCATTGACGGGGTCCTCCTGCCAGTACCTCAGGTCCATGTATGGCAAGTCCTCGCACCTCACTCTCGGGTTACTGTCATAAACAACAAAAAGTGACCACATATTAGACCGCATAATAAACACGTGATAAGTCTATGTATTGCATACAATATAGGGTGAGCCTGTCTGAGGATCCACATCTGGATGGTCGGGATGTCGTCTCCGTTATCACATACGATGCGGGCCTGAGTCGAGCGCTTGATTTGAGTCAACTGTTCGGGAGTGAAGGCCGACGGGAAGCCCGAGTTCTCAAACCAGAAGCGATCGCCGCGTCTTATGTTCGCGAAATTACGGGCGACTATACAGGCGAACGTCGGCCCAATCATAGCGCCCGGCAGTCGGCGCTCGGATATGCCGCCACTCCACAGGTCTATGTCGTCCGGATGTGCGTAGAGTTGCGAGTAATGGTATGCCGTCTTGTTGTTGAGCCACGGCTCCAGGTCTTCGAAGGTCTCGGCCCGCGGGAGTCCACACCACTCGCGGTATATGTTATAACCGGGGACTCCCTGTTCGCGCGCTCGGGCGAGGTTTATGGCGGGCAAATCCATACCGACCGCCGCGTGAATCTCTTGGAACAGATGTCCGGACACTTCTTCGGTGATGAAAGGGTCGTACGTCTGGGCGGGAGTGTTGAGAAGGCCGAGCGCCAGTTCGTCCAGCGTTCCCGGTTCGTACACCACAAACGGTTGTCTCAATAGGTTTCGCAGATTGTCTTCGGACACGAATTCGTGGTATTTGTTATATCGTCTGACCATTCCTTCACATTATGGATCAGTTATAGCAATCAATATTAACTTTAATTGAATTTAACTTTAATTGAATTTAACTTTAATTGAACAAAATGTTACAAAAGTAATGACAAATACCCTGAATGAAAGTGTGTCCGAACCGGAAGGCGGCGGTAGTGAACGCCTGTGAGGGCGCGGTGTGGACATTGGGGTCGTATCCGTTCCAATAGCCGTCCTTCTCTTCGGTCAGATTGTATCGATGGACGAGTTCTTCGCCGACGACAAGCGGTAGGAACTCATTGAGCGTAATGTGTTGTACGGATGCGGCCATTATATGTCGGCACTCCTGATAGATGCGCTCGTCGTCCCAATGAGGGTTGAGTCGTCCCAACTCGACGGCCATCCGGTTGTGGTCGCGGACATAGAAGGTGTGAAGAACTGTCAAATGGATTTGTTCGTTGACTCGGATGTCACCCGCGATGAAGCAAAACAAGTGTTCGGGACGACCCGTACAGTCCAGGTCTGGGTTCTCGTCCTCCGGAGGTAATATCGGTTTGAGTCCGTAATCACGAAAACGATCCCAAACTCTCATCAGACCTAACGATTCAATAGTTGTATTCAAATGTTGTTTTGCATTATATATTAGTATAGGATATGATGTAAAGTAATATAAAAAGTTATAATGTATTGAATGCATTGAATACAAACCTCCTTTGAAAGCCCTGAGTCTGAGAGCGACGGCTTCGGTGGAGCCGTAAACAAAATTGGCATCAATTGGAGCCGTCAGCGTATTTACGTGCACTCGAGGCCCTGGTTTGCACACAAGTCATCAAAATGTAGTATTTATGATTATTTGCAACTCATTATTATTTATGAAGTTTTTGATAAGAAATAATGTATACCGAGAGCACAGTTAGGCCGATGTCCGGCAACGGATCTCTTAAAGTCATGGCATCGTTTGCCAACGGGTCCGTAGACGGGATCGTTTTCCGGGATCTCAAATGGCATACATAGCGGATGTCTGTCCTCTTCAGACATTTCACAGCAATTGAAGTCAGTTTCCAAACCATTTGGAAATACTTTATTCATGAAAAGCAAATTATAAGACATTAACTATGATTTACTAACACC